TTCTGGGTGGTGGTGCAGGGGACTAAGGCAGGCTTACCCCTACTCCCAAAAGCAGTCAGCAAACTCTCTCCATTGCAGCCCGCCTCCCCCGTTCTATGGAGATGGGGTACAGGGCGGATGGAGGGGCACCCTGACATCAGCACACCCTCCTCTTTTTCCTGTGCCCTGCGCAGCAAGCAAGAGGCTTCTAGGGGTGGGGGACAGTGCCAAGGCAGAGGCTCCCCCATGGGTGTTCCATTTAGGTGACTACATAGCAGTATTCCTGCTTGGCGGTGGGTGCTCTGTGTTGCAGGGCTAGATGTTGGACAGTATGGCTATGTCTAGACTGCAAGCCTCTTTCAAAAGAGGCTTTTTCAAAAGATACTTTCGAAAAAGCCTCTTTCAAAAAAGAGCATCTAGACTACAACCAGTACTTCCGAAAAAAAGCGAGCTGCTTTTTCTAAAGAGATCATCCAGGTAGCCTCTTTCAAAAAAGCACAGTTTGCATTACATAATGCCTTTTTTAAAAAAGAGCAATTCCTCATAAAACAAGGTTTTCCGCAGTCGAAAAAAAATGCCACAGGAATGCGGCAACAGTCTGGACGCAGGGGGAAGTTTTCTTGAAAAAAGGCCACTTAAAAAAAAAAACACTGTAGTCTAGATACGCCCTATGGTACTTCCAAATCTGGTGTCTGAGTCCTCAAAGGTCTGAATAGTGTAATGTTGTACAAAGGTATTGGCCGAAGCCCATGTTGCAGTTCTGCACATGATATTTATTGGAAGGCCCTTGAGAAAGGCAGTTGTGGTAGAAACAGCTGTCGTGGAGTGTGCCTGTATAACTGTTGGTGGCTGTCTGTGTTTCTGGGAGTAAGCCAGTTGTATGCATGTAGAAATCCATTTAGATATTCGTTGCTTAGAAACAAGTTGACCCCAGACCTGACTGCGCAAGAGTGCATCAGAAGTTTCTTGTGTGTTCAAAGTAAAAGGCTAATGCCCTGCGTACATCCAGCGTGTACAGCACTGCCTGATTGCTGTTCTTGTGTGGTTTTGGGAAGAACACAGGTAAGTATATTGGTTTGTTACAGTGGAATGAGGTAGATATCTTGGGAAGGAATTTCAGGTGGGTTCTAAGAGCAACCTTGTCTGTGTGGAACACCATGTATGGCGGGTCTGCCATGAGTATCTCTCCCACTTTCCTAACTGATGTTATCACTACGAGAAAAGCTACTTTCATCGAAAGGTGGAGTAGTGAGCAAGTTGCGAGTGGCTCGAAAGGCCGTCTCATGAGTGAGTCCAGCACGAGATTCATGTCCCATGATGGTACTGGATCTCTATGTGGTGGACAGAAGTTCTGTATACCTTTCCGGAATCTCTTCACACATGAGTGGGAAAAAATGGAATACCCCTGTATGGGTGGGTGTATCGTAGATACAGCTGCCAAGTGTACATTGACAGAACTAATTGATAATCCTGTGTCCTGTAGGTGGAGGATATTCTCTAATATGTCTGGTATCCCCACCTTGTGTGGATCCCGCTTGTGAGCAGAATTCCAGGCAGCAAATTGGGCCCATTTCTGCAGGTAAGTCCATCTCATAGTGGGTCTCCTAGAGGTGATCAGAATATCTCTGACCTTTCAAGACAGCGTTATCTCATTATTCAAGAGCCAACAAGCATCCATGCTTGCAGGTTTAGTGTGTGGAATCCAGATGTGGTATGTGCTCTTTGTCTTGGGTCAGCAGAGCTCGTACTGGTGGAAACTTGTACGAGTGACCTGTGCTGAATTGCAGTATGGTAGGGTAGCAAATTTGTCTCGGCCAGTTCGGGGCTATCAGTATGACCCTTGTTGCATCCTGTCTGATCTTTAGTACCATTTGTTATATGAAAGCTAAAGGTAGAAACGTGTACACCAATGGGATGGCCCAGTGGACCACAAACATGTCTCCAAGAGATTGTGGTCCAATGACCACACTGGAACAGAACAGGGGGCACTTAGAGTTGATGTGCATTGCAAACAGGTCCACTGCCGGATAACCCCCTTTCTGGAAAAGGTTGTTTATGATGGACTTATTGATTTGCCATTTGTGGTTCTGTGGGAATTATCTGCTGAGGGCATCCACTAGTACATTGTCCTTGCCCAGTAAATGCATTGCAGTAGGTGTGACTTTGTGTAATACACCATTGCCACAGTTTCGTTACTTCTGCACATAGGCTGTGAGATCTTGTGACCCCCCTTGTCTGTTTATATAATATGTTTTTGTGGAATTGTCCAACACTGTTCTTACTGTCTTGTTCCGTATGTACTTGAGCAGTTGGCAGCATGCCCTCCTGACTGCCTTGAGCTCCAACACATTGATATGGAGTTGGGACTCTTCTCATGTCCACTGTCCCTGTAATATCACACTCCTCATGTAGTCTCCCCATCCCAGCAGGGATGCGTCTGTTGTGATAGTGACGGATGACATTGGCGCCTTGGTGGAACTGCTGTGAATGGTATACTGTATCCGGTTCACATTATTTCTAGGACCCATTGGTCAGAGATGATGATCTTCCATGCTGCATAGAATTTGGCAAGTTTGTTTCCGAATGTCTGTTTCCCTATATCTGCCTGCCCTGGAGGATGAAGGCTATTGTACCCTCGACCAGCACCTCAAATTTGCTGATGGGAACTGGACCCCCGGGTTGAGGATGTTAGCTCATTTGATTGTCTTCATCTAGATTGTTTTACATGTCTCTTGTTCTCATAGGCAGGGGCGGCCCATGAGTATAGGCAGACTCAGCAGTCGCCTAGGGTGCCACCTTCAACGGGGCGCCCGATGATTACGTCACGCCATTGATGGCCGTGCAGGTGGGGGCGCCAATTGTGCATTCCATCTGGGGCACCAGCTGCCGCAGCCGGCCTCAGGCCACTCCTGCTCATAGGGCTGTTGTTGTTGGTTATACCCTATTGTTCTAAACCTTTGATTATATTATTTGTATTGTTTCTTCCTGGATCCAGAAAGCTGTATCCTTAACATGCAAAATGTCGCCCTAGAGTCTTTAAGGGTGTGGAGAGACGAATTTGTTGCCTCGGCAAAGAGTTTCTCTCCCTCAAATGGAAGGTCTTCGATGTTTGATTGTACTTCTTTGGGAAACCGGACAGTTGCAACCAGGACATTCTCCTCAGCACTACTGTGTTTGATGAGTATACATTCTTCCCAATAGCATCCATCCTCTTTATTTCCTTGTCATGATTCTGTGCTCTAGGGTATTGCTGTTACTTCCCCCTCTGATTGGCTGCCTTGACAACCAATGAATTCGGTGAATGGTGTGAGAATAGGAATTCTACCCCCATAGGTGTTACATAATATTTCTTATCTATTTTCTTTGAAGTTGTCAGTACCGATGCCAAGTCTTCTATATGGCCTTAGCCGGGTCCAGTAAATCCTCATTCATCGGCAGAGCCAATTTGGTGTGCTGAGGTAAGTGAAGTATGCTGGTAAGCTTTTGTTTGTTCTGCATTATGTGTGGGAGTTGTATATCTAGAGTGTCCACTACCCTGTGGAATAGATCTTGAAACTTTCTATAGTCGTCACCTCTGGTTCCATATGGTCATCCATCGTGGAGCATAATGTATTAGGAGGGATAAGCAAATCTTGTGTTGCTTTCTCCATCAATGACTCGCTGTCATGGTTGCCTGGGCTGTAGTCAACTCGAGCCATTGGTATCTGGACGGTTTGTTGTGATTGCAGTTGTCGATTTCTGTAGGGTGCCCATGTGTCCCAGTAGGAACACTGTGGTGAGGGTCATGGGGGTACCCATTGTGCCATCTGCCAATTCTGGGGTTGCTGGTGCTGTGTTGCAGCATATTGAGGGACTCTGCGCTGGCCCCTTATTTCATCCTTGTCATCGTTGTAAATCTCACTGATATAAGCGATGTTGGTGTGGATGATAATACAGAACCTCTAGACCAGGGGTTCCCAGCCTGGGGTACGCGTACCCCCAGGGGGTACGAGAAGCTTGTCAAGGGGGCATGGGGAATATTTGGTAAATAACTAAATGATCCTAACTGAAATATTCCAAAAGTAGTAGTGTTAGTGAAAAAAGTTGTGGATTCTAGAATCTAGAATTTATTTCCTTTCATATTGAATAGGGGGTAAGGGAAGGTTTACTAAAAGCCAAGGGGATACGGGGACCAAAAAAGGTTGGGAACCCCTGCTCTTGACCATGGTGTGATGTCGGTACCAAATAATGGTGAGCATGGTATTGATGGTACCGCGAGATCAGCCTCTGTCATGTATCTCGGTACCGGGGATGGTGGTGGCATCACTGTATAGCCTGCCATTGCTGGATGCATTTGTGCATTCGGCACACTGGGGTACACTGGTACTGATGGTACTGTGAGTTTTTGTCTGTACGTGGTATTCTGCTGCTTTGCAGCCTGCCTGCTTTTTTATCTGCTCCTGGTTCCGGCTTCTGCGGTACTGCAGGCTTGTTCTGAGGAGAGCTTGAAGCTTGGCCAGTTGCTCTGTGCTTCACTTTGGGATCACTAGCTTTTTTTGAGCAGGATCCCTTAACCCACTTTATGATGCCCTATTCGCTGTCTACCACCTTGCCTGGAAGTTTTTTATCACTTGGTTGCACCGTGTCAGTGGGGGACTGGGTGCATTTTGTGCTGTGCTCCTGGTCCAGCTCTCTAGCCCATCCCTCCGAGAGTTCTGCTTTTGTCATCCACGCCAGGTATAGGCTCTCGGGGGCGGGGAGGACATTGAATCAGGCTGCTGGTCATCCAAAGTCCTTTCCATAAAAAAAATTCTCCACTGTAAGACTCTCACTCTTTTAGATCTAGGAGTGAGCTTTTGACAGTGAGGGCAGTGGCTTATCGGGTGGTCCTGCCCTAGGGAGCAGAGACACTGGGCTGCTGGTTAATCATAACCAATAGCATCACTCAGTTAACCATTCACATCCCTAGTATGAAGAATATAAGGAACAGTAGGTAGGGAAGATATTGTTTCCCTCTTTTAGTGCATAATACATTCACTTACTACACAAATTGTCCACACAGGTGTCCTCTTTTGAGCACTCACTGCATGATGCTCCTGCTTTATAAGGTTTTCTTGGGTAATTGCCACTACAAAGGCATAAGAAAATTCTGTCAGACAAATTTCACTGTGTACAATTTTAATAAGACAATATGTTTAAAGCATTAAACACTTTAAGAGATAAACTCAGCATATTTTTACAGAACTGGTAAAACCTCATGAAAAGTAAACATTTTTAAACCATTTGTTCACTGTTCTCTTTCCTGTATTAAAGATAACCACATTAAAATGCTACCTTTTTTCCAACTAGAAAAATCAAATGATTTAAATCAAACACAACATAAGTATACACATTTATTTAAAATGAATATCTCGAGGTAGAGCTTGCGTACGATTAAGAAAGATATGAAATGAAAATTTTCCTACAGATAGGAAACTCAATACAGTTTCAAAATAACTTTCAGCAAATACTCTTTACAATTGATATACATTCCTGAGAGAAAGCTTTGATTCACCAAAAAATTTAAGAACTTACTTAACTTGAAGTATGTGAGTAATTCCACGATGCGTACAGATAGTTCGGAATAGCTAGCTAGTTCGAACTATCTAGCCCGTGCCGCGTGTAGCTGCGCGGCACGGGGTTCGCACTAGCCGGCTTTTAAAAATGGCGGCGCCAGCTTTATGCTAATGAAGCCTGGGAAATTCAAATCCCGGGCTTCATTAGCAAGTTCGGTATGCATACATTACCCCGCTAGTTCGAACTAGCAGGGTAGTGTAGACATACCCTAAAATCCTTAGTGGGAATCATACTGAAACACACTAACTGGTTTCAACAACACAATGAGAATAATGTCTGATTTCTTCTTACCATGTTTGTAGGGTTCTCTTGTTCATGCATTCTCAGTCTCCTAAGGATGCTCAGTGGCCAGCAGTTCCAGCAGCTCCTTAGGGTACTTGACAGCTGGCAGTTCCCCTTCTTTTGGGCTCTTCTCCGGGGGCAAAAGTTGGCACAGCTTGGGCTCTGGTGCAGGGGTCATCAGCAAGGCAGATGTATCCAAATTCTGCTTTGGCTCAACTGAGCTAGAGGCTCTGCCTCTTATACTTCCTGTTCCTCCCCTCTACTTTTGGCATGAGAGGCAGGCCATGCCTGGTTTTGCTCACCAGAGGATGGGAGTGGTTCTTCCCTGTCATTTTCAAAGAGAGCCCACTCTGCCTTGCAACAGGCACTGAAACACCCCTCTACCTTTGAGTCAATTTTCTGATTCATGCATTTAGAAATTACTCCACAAATACTGCCTACAATGCAAGGCCTCGCCTAGTGCAGAAGTTCCTTCCTTTGTTAAAGGGCATAAGATTTACCAATGAAGCTCACAAAAAACTACTCTGACAGGGATCACTATGTGGAGCCTTTATCCATTAGCACCTCTTTGTGACGAGATAGGAAGCTACACCAGCTGTTACCATCTCCCTTATACTATCACACTCATTTTTGTGTTTGTTGTCCAGCCCTGTGGACAAGTTCTTAATAGTCTCTGTCACCTTCAAGATAGTGGGGAGTTGGAAGTTCCCATGGCCTTACTGGCAGCTAAACTGCCGTCGGTCTGCAGGATTTAGAGCAGGGGTGGAATAAAGGGCCTCTGCAGACCGGATGCGGTCCGCCAAGTGGGTGGGTCCAGCTCACGGTGGCCCTGCTGCTTCCCTGTCCCCAGGCCAATTAAGGCATGGTGGCAGGGGCAGGGTAGATAAGGCTTTGCGTGCTCCCCCACCCCTAGGCCAATCAGGGCCTGGTGGCAGGGGAGCTGCGTGAAGCTTCCTTTGCCCTGCCCCGGCCCTGTGAGGAGCCCGCAGCATTTCAAAGTGCCATGTGCTCTTCGCAGGGCAGGAAGAAGCTTCCCATGCTCCCCTGCCCCCAGGCCCTGATTGGCTTGGGGATGGGGGGGGGGGAGCGTGCCAAGCCTCTTCCAGGGCATTGGTGCCTCATGGAAAGGGGGGGGGGAATTATTGCCCAACCCTGATTTAAAGTGGTGTTCTTCAAAATCCTATATAAGGGAAGCCAAAGCCTTCTACTCCATTGGGTTTCAGCTCAGGCTGTCTGTTTGGAACAGCCATAACCAATCCTTCACAGCCCCTGACAATGCCTTGAGCCACATCTTTTCCTCTGTAGGCTTCCCCAGTGTCTTGCCCTGCTTCTTCCTATTTGGAGTGTTGCTTCTCAGGCAGTTTCTCACCTGTCTTCTGAAAGGATCTTCTCTCTGGAAACTGCAGTTCTCCTCAAGAGTTCCTTTCTTGAGGTCCTTTACCTTTTATCATGCCTAGGTGCCACCCTGTCTAATTAACTGCCTCTTGTTACCCGGTGAGTTAACTAATCCCAGGTGAAAGTGAGCTACTTATTTCTTCTTTGCTGAGCCGGTCGAAGGTAGGCTGGTCCTTTCACTTGTTTAGAGGGCCAGCTACCTCTGACAGGCTCAATTAATTAGAGTTCATAGATCTTTAGATGCCTGAATTAATTGGCTGATAAACCATTTCCCTGATTACACATACTAAACTCCTGATGTGTGTGGGTTCCAATTTATTTTTGGAGGAATAAATATTAATAATACCATCTTCATCTTAAAATATTTTAAAAATAACTTACCTTGGCACATAGTTGCATATGAAATGTGCTGCATTTTCGATTCCTGCAGCCATACGACAAAAAACAACAGCACAGCCCACCTTGTGAGAAGTATCCCAAACAATCTAGAAGAAATATTTTTTAAACAAAATAAAGATTAAACTGTGGGCTTGTCTATACTACTACATAAGCCTGAATCTACTAAGGTTATATTCTGAGCCACCAATATGGGGGGCCACATCCACATTACAGGCTCAATTTGAATGTTCTCTGATGTAGTGCATCCACATTAACAGAGCCTATCTTGAACTCAGAGAGCAAGGAAGCACCCTGGGAATCTTGGCAGGCTGGCCTATACTTCTGGTGTCCGGTGGGTCCAAAAAGCAGCAGTGGATGCTTTCAGGGGTTCCTTTTGGCCACATCCCACAAGGCATTCCTCTATTCCCTCTATTCCCTCTCCCTCACATGACATAAATGGGTCACAGAGGGCACGTGACTTTTTGTGTGCTAGTTGCCTGTACGGATGCCACAGCACAATGAACATGGAGCCAGAGGTGTTCCAAAGCATGACTTTCAGCTGTGCCACTCAATCCTCTGGACATAATAGAATACTGTGTCTAGTGACAGGAGATGAGCTTGGACTGGTGGGACCACATTGTCATGCAAGAATGGGACAATTAGCAGTGGCTGCAAAACTTCCATATATGCAACACTATCGTTCTGGAGCTCTGTGAATGATTTGTGAGGTTGCAGGATACCTGCATGAGATCCACTCTCCCTGTGCAAAAACACATGGCCATTGCCCCCTGGAAACTTGCCACACCAGACAGTTACTGCTCAGCTGGGAATCAGTTTGGGGTGAAGAAATCCACAGTTGGGGCTGTGCTCATACAAGTAGCCAAGGCCATCAACAACATCCTGCTACAGAGGATTGTGACTTTTGGGATCATCGACAATATCATGGACCGCTTTGCTGCCATGGTGCTGCAGGTGCTAATAGTTCACAAAGGATGCTTCACTAACATCAATGTTGGATAGTCAGGAAAGGTGCATGACAAGACATCTTGTGGACCTCATGTCTCTTCCAAAAGATGTACATTGGAACTTTTTCGACAGAGGCTTTTTCAAAAGATACTGTCGAAAAAGGCGTGCAGTCTAGATGTAGCCATGGTGTCTAGTGAGACCATACTGAATTTCTGTATCTACAAAATTGTTGAGTCCTCTGAGATCAAATATAGGTTTCCATTCTCCTGACTTTTTCTTCATGGGAAAATAGTGGGAATAAAACACCTTCCTCTGAGGTTTGTTGGAAGGAGTTCTATTGTTCCTAGGTGTACAAGGTGGATTACCTCCTGGTGCAGTAAATGTTCATGAGAAGGGTCCCTGAAGAGGGGTAGAGGAAGGGTGAGTATTTATTTGAAAAATAAATGAGATGGAGTAATCAGTTTGTATAATTTTTAATACCCATCAGTTGGATGTAATGGTTTTCCAGACTTGGTAATTTGTAACTAGATAATCTCCGAATGGTCAGAAGAGGGTAGATGTCTCCAGCATAGAAAAAGATGGGGTTTTCAGGCCCTTGACCGAGGCTTTGAATTTGTTGCCTGGATGAGGAGGCTTGTGCTTTAGCTGTTGGAGAAGCACGTTGTCATCTCCTTGATGGCTTCTGTTTGTATCTCTGTGATTCATAATTATGTTGTTGTGCATAAAAGAGTGTAGCAATAACGTTGATAGGTAAATAAATCCCAAGAGACCAAAGTATTGCTTGTGTTTCCTTGAGCATATGGAGAGAATTATCTGTCTTTGCAGAAAAGAGTTTAAGCCCCACAAATGGTAGGTTATCAGCCAGAGAGTGAGCGTCTTCTCTCTTCTTTGAAGTCCGAGAGATCGAGCTATGAGATTCTTCTCATTACTACTGAGTTGCTACTGATCTTGCAGCTGTGTTCACAGAGTTCAGTGAAACCTGCAGGGCTGTTCCAGATTTGAGTTGTCCCTCTGACACAAGTGCTGTAATATTTTGTCACCAGAAATAAAGTTGGTAAATTCTGAGAACACTGTGTAGTTATTATGATCATATTTAGCTAGTAAGGCTTCGTAGCTGGATATGCACTATTGTAATGTAGCCACAGAATAAGCTATGCAGTCAAGAAGGTTGAGACTTTTCCAGTCTTTATCATAAGGCGTATTCTTGGGCAGTTTTTGTCTACCCCACTCATGAACTGCATTGACCACCAGAGAACTGGGCGCTGAATGAGAGAAAAAGAATTCCATGCCTTTTGATGATGCATACTTTTTGTCACACCTGTTGCATATTGAAGGAACAGATGCAGTCTGCCAAATGGTCTTGACAGGTCCTATTACTGCTTTGTTCATGGGTAGGGTCTGAGTCCATACTGTGTACCAATGAATGAGGCACTATAGGAGCTGGGGCTGAGCTGCTATGTACTGATTGTGGCTTTGATTGCATCAGTGCCAATGCATAGGGTTTTGATTTCCCCTTGGAGTCTGTGTGTGAGCTGGATCTTTTAGAGCCCTGAGCTCCTATGGCACAGCTGGTACTGGATGGTACCAGTACCTCTAATCTGGTCATTGCTGGTGTGGCTGGTGCCAATGCTGTTTTCCCATTCACAGAACAGCTCTTTTTGGAAGAGTCCTGTGGTGGGGAAACAATTACCCACTTCTTGGATATTTTCTTAGCAGGTTGAACCAGAGCCTTCCTGTTAGATGATGAACCCTTGTCAGAAGCTGTGGTTGGGAAGGTATATCTAGATGAGGTCCAGGCTTCTGGCTCAGACACCTGTCTGAGAGACCTCGGCATGAGGAGGAGCTTTAACTATAAGTTTTTTGCTTTTCTTGTCCAGCCTGTTAGCTTGTGGCAGTGAGGACACTTTAGCATAACGTTGCTTCTTCTAGGCAGTGCACACAGAAAGAAGTACAGAAAGCCTGCAGGTAGCCTACAGAAAGCCTACGATGTGACCTGACCAAGCACTGCTACCAAAAGTTCTGATTGTACATGCAGAGGGACCAAAATACCAGAAATGGTGTACCCAAACGGATACCACTCAAAGAAGAATGTAAAATTTCCTAAGAACCCCATGGACCAGGGTTTGAGAGTGTGGTCTCTGATGATATCACAGGGGTGGGCAATAATTTTTGATGGGGGGGGCATTGCAAGATTTTGGTAAGTGGTCAATGGCTGAACTTTTCTATGGAGGGGGTGCAGGGTCTGGGACGGAGGTTGGATGCAGAAGGGAGCTTGGGATATGGGACTGGGATGCAGGAGAGAGTAAGGGATCTGAGAGGGAGTTTGGGTGAAGGAGGAGGTTGTGATTGGGGCAGAGGATTGGAGTGCAGGGTCTGGGAAGGGGAATGGATGCAGGAGAGGATTCTTGCCTGGGGGAGAGGTGTAGAAGGAGGTGTAGGTTCTGGGAGAGAGTTGGGGTTTGTATAGGGGGGTACCAGAAGCAGGCTGTAGCTAGGAGGTGCTTATCTAAGCAGTGCCTAAGCAGCAGCGCACTCAGGCAGGTTTCCAGGCTTGCTAGCAGCTGTAGACCATTCCATGAGTCTCTCTGTGCTGTGGAGACTTTGAGAGCTGCTCTGTCACCTGCAAAATTTCTCAGTTCCTATTGGCCAGAAACTGGCCAATGGGAGCTGAGAAATTGTGCTGCACTTTCCTCACTCCCAGCAAAATCTCTCAGCTCCTGTTGGCTGGAAACTGTCCAATGAGAATTGAGAGATTTTGCTGGGAGCAGAGGCAGCACATGAAAACTCTCCCTTTCTTCTTTACAGCGCAGGGAGCCACAGGGAGCCGCTAGCTACTATGTGCAGTGCTGCTCCGTGCACAGGGGTGGGCCAGTTTAAAAGGCTTGGTCGGCCAGATCTGGCCCACGAGCCGTATCTTGTCTGCCCCTGTGATATCACCACCTCCGCAAGCAGCACTCTCAGATTGATGTAAAACCAGGATTTTCAGGGTGATTCCCGTGGAACATCTGCACAAGTGTGATTGAATAATGTTTACTTTTAGAGTCCAGGATCTCATTAAATAAATAATCCTTGGGGCCCTGTACATGTACTTATGGAGAAGGTGGTTGGGCCCTGTGAGGGAAAAGATTTCAAAAGTTATGTAGGAGTCAGCAGATGCATGTTCAGAGACTAGAGTAGTTGGAGTTAAAAAGTGACTGGATCAACCTGTAGCAGAATCTTAAAAGGACCATGGAGCCAAAGTAAACACTGAGGAAATAGATTGTGATAATCAATTAGATTATTTGGCATCTTTGGCAATTAAAATAAATGAATTGTTGGGACTAATTCCCCCTTACATTGTCTCAGAACTCTACATGAGGGAAAGGGTAGGAGTTTGTAGCTCCCATCGTCATTGTTCTGTAAAAGACTCTGGAAGTTCACAATGCAGCTGCCTCGGTCAGCTAACAATTTGTGTCTGACAAAATTAACTACTGTGTCAGAGCTGTAATATGTGGCTATATCTGCAGCACTGGAAAATAGTTCGTGTGGATTCACAATCTTTTAAGAATTTAATAAAAAACTGATTCACCATATTGAGAATCAGCCCCCAACCAGCTGCAAGGGAGCCTGGCAGAAAGGTGTGCTGCATGAATGCCCACCAAAAGCTGCTGCTGTGCTGACGCTAGCGATGCAGCCCCCGCCAGCCATCTGCAAGTTGGAAGAAGCACCCACCAGAAGAATGCCCTTCTCCACCCCACTCTGGGAATTGTAGACTCCCTGGACCTATCCCATGGCATAGAGGTCACCCCAGGACCCATGGGAAGGGACTCCTCAGCTCCACTTCAAAGATCAGTGTATTTTTTATTTATATTTAAATGCATTATGGATTTTACAGATAGGTCCAATTTTAGTTCATTTTTATGGAATGTCCATGAATGTATTGATGGTTGGCAACACTGCCAGGAGCAGAAATGATGGTGGACAAAGCACCACTGAGAGTGGACATAACAATCTGCAGAGCTAACCCCCAAGATGGCCAGCAGAAGTCATCAGTGTGGGGAGTGGAGCCCTGTCACACTCCCTGTCTTCTGAAGAATTTTCTCTGTTTCTTGTAAGATTAAAAAACGAAGAAGACAAGAGCAGGGTGTTTTGGCTATACTGAATACCAAGTTAGAGAACATTTCTATTTACAAAATTAACATAATCACAGTATTAGGATGTCTTGTGTAACCCAAGTTGTTGTGTAACCCAAGATGACACTTTTCAAACTATCTTAAGAATCAGCTAACAGTTTGAGGGTGGGAGCTATTTAAGCACCTGAAAGCAACACTGAAAGAATGGAAGTATGAGTCATTAATTATAATCGCTATTTTCCAGTAACGGGTAATTATTTATTGTCTCCCCAATTCTAATTCTTGGAATTGTTGTGAGCTGTGAAAAATGTTTTGGTAATAAAAATTAATTTACCTGAGTATAATGACCACATGTTTTAGTACATTTCCGAGTCTCAAGAGTGTAGTGCTGGACTTCATCTTTCCAGAGTTTGATGGCTGTAACAACAGTAAACATGCTGCGACTTCCCGTCCATATATTTTCTCCAACGTGCACATAATGAGGATGTGACATAAATTTTTCTGTTAAATATGGACTATGTTTAAAAAGGCATTTTTTTGCCCATGCTCTGGCAGTCCGTGCTAAAGCTGCATCCCAAGTCTGCAAAATAGGAAAGTAGAAGAAAGCTGTGCAGAGAGTTAAATTACAATGCATTTTTATCCATCAGACAAATTAAGACAGAAAATGAATATCTATAAACTGTATTAAATTAAAAATGTTTGTAAATTCTGTACAACTATACAATAGAAATATTTTGTTCCTCTTCTGTCATTCAGTCAAGCACTCCAAAATCCTGGTTTTAACTTATTAGTGAACTGATTTGGTCACAGAAGAAAAGGTGACCAATTATTAAATCAACTTCTGTTAGTGAAAGAGACAAGCTTTGGAATCTACACAGAGCTATTTGTCAGATCTTGGAAAGATACTCTGAGGCTGTGTCTACATTGGCCCCTATTCCGTAATAGGGATGCAAATGTAGCACTTTGGAATAGGCAAATCCGCGGGGGATTTAAATATCCCCCACGGCATTTGCATTAACATGGCTGCCGCTTTTTTCCGGCTGGTAGATAAGCTGGAGAAAAGCGCCAGTCTGGACGCGATCCTCCGGAAAATAAGCTCTTTTTCCGGAGGATCTCTTATTCCTACTTTGAAGTAGGAATAAGAGCTCTTCCGGAAAAGGGCTTTTTTCCGGAGGATCGGGGCAAGTCAAAAGCCGGAAAAAAGCGGCGGACATTTTTATTTAAATGCCGCAGGGGATATTTAAATCCCCCGTGGATTTCCCTATTACGACCTGTCAAATTAGCATGCCCCTTTCGGAAAAGGGGCTAGTGTAGACGTAGCCTCACAGTGTAGGCTATAGAGCTATTTCATAGCTGTGTAGACTTCCGGATTCAGCACAAGTCCCGGATTCCTTCACAGGGTCGTAGTGCCCTGGTGCCTGCGGTTACCTACCAGCTCTGTGTTCTTGGAGAACCAGAGCATGGCCACCTGTCAGCCCTGTGTTCTTGGGGAGCCGGGGAGTAACACTCATGGAAAACCATCCCCCTCCCCCAGGCCTCTGCTAGAATCAAAGACAAAGCAATGAAAAGGCCAGGGAAGACACACCTAAACTCCTCCAGACAGAAGTGATAGAATTAAGGAAACACTCCAGCCTCATCTGTATGGAAGATAGAACAGAGAGACCTCTCCATTAGCATACAAAATGGAGAACAGCTCTTCCAAAACAGGAACCGCACTGAACTATGGGATACTGAACGCAAAGAAGCACTGCCTAATGGGAAAACTCTGCTCCAGATGCTAATGAACCCAGTCCTGCTCACACCCAAATTAGTCATTATCAGACCAATTCTAGTAATGGATCCTATTGACATCCAAAATACTGACACTGCCTAGTTGCATTGTGAGCTTCTTCATGGAACATCATCAAAACTAGGCGTGATCAGTCTCTATTGTCTTACCTGTTTAACCCTAAACAAATCCAGTGTCTCTTCAAACTATTGTCCTATCCCTATAAAAATGCCTACCTTTGCCCAAGAAAAAGTGTTCTGATACCTGGATTTAAACTGCATCAGTTCCATTGAGACTTCTTCATCTCTTGTCTGATCGTGCTAGGGGCTCTGCTCTGCTTGTCTCCTGCCCTCTGAACTCCCAGCTCCCATCACCATCTGGGAATCCTGATCAATGCAAGCTTCAGGAGCAGTGAGGTCTCTCTCTCTCTCTTCCCCTCCTCCTCAACTACCTCTCTCTAAACACAGCTTCCTAATCCTGCCCTATGTAAACTGTTACAGGAGGCCCTCACTTTGCGATGGCCCAATTTACGACACCCTCCCAAACTTATGACCTTTAAGTGCGGAAGGGGCCGAAATCCTCCAACTTATGTCCTCAGCCCCAAATTTATGATGGTGTACGACACCTGTCGTAAATGCAAACTCAAGTTACAATGCCCCCGACTTGCGACGGTCTCCCAGGAACCGATCGCGTTGCAAGTCGGGGGCAGTCTGTATATGGTTTGCTAGCCCTAACATCTGTAATTAGTTTCAGTTTAGATTTAATACTGTAACTGTTAAATTTGATATTTTAACTGTTTTGTGTGTTTAGCTCCCCATATATATATTCACCAACCAGAAATAAATGACTTTCATTGTTAAGCTGGTTGCTTCTCTCTTTTCCTTTCCCTCTTGTTCATTCTTCCTCATGGGGTGTTGTTTTGGCTTCCCCATTCACTCTGCAACAATGCTTCTTGTACCCAAGAAGATCACTGTAGTGCCCAAAATCCTGTGGGGTTTGATCATCGTGTGATTTACCAGTGAATAATTGTGGTGTGAAAGTGGGGATAGAGAGGTGCTGAACCTGCAGGCATATGAGGATGGCAGTTTAAAGTACTGTTAAATCCAGCCCACTGAGTCCAAAGACACATGAGGGTGCAGTGTGGCATTGCTGTTAAAGCCAGCCTGCTGAGTCCAGGGACATATGAGGGGTCAGCTTGTGAGTGCTGATTACCCCTTCTCTCAAACGTGCTCTGTTAGTGGGTGAGTGTCCATGTGTTCCTAAGGTGAGAAGAACCCTGTCCTGAGGAACATATTTCCTGCAGGAGAATTCCAGTGGGAAGGGGAATTGGCAGCAGGGAGAACTCAGCTCCAAATGAGAGCACAAGTAAGCACAAGCAGTACACTGATAGAATTGTTAACCTCCCCCAGCCCCATAAGAGTAATCCTAGGGCAAAACTGGTAACACTTCCAGAGCCCAGAACTTTATGTAGCAATGAAGCATCCCCACAGCCTGAGCCCTGTGAGTCTGAGTTCACTGGCATAGCCCAACCACAGGTGTAGCTGGTAAACAGACATATACAAAGTGTAACAGCTAAATACAAAGAGGAACAGATTGTTGTAAGGATGTGTCTAATCTACCGGGTTTTGTCGACAAAAGTGGACTTTTGTCGACAAAACTATACTTGCGTCTATACTACCGCCACGTTCTGTCGACAGTAAGTCAACAGAACGCGTCAGTTTTGTTGACAGCGGTGAACCTCATTTTATGAGGAAAAACTTTTTTTCAACAGTGTTCTGTTGGAAAAAAAAAAAAAGACCTCCAAGGAAACCCCCTGCTGGACAGTCCATCTTCAGGGAAAACCTCTATTGTTCCTGTCTGTAGCCATATTTTACAGGCACAGACACCCTGGGCAGGCATTCGGACAGGAAGCTGGCCAAAGACCAAGACTGTCAGCTCGCAGCTCTCCCTGCCTTCCTGCCACGTGGACATGTGTGAAGCCCAAGATCCCAGAGGCCCCCAAGGACCTTTGAAGGAGCCATCATAGGTGCCCTCTAAGGGAAAGAAGAGAGCTCCAGCCTGGTCAAGGACAGAGGTCCTGACCCTGCTCGAACTTTGGGGTGAGGAGGAAGCACTCCAGGCCCTGCACACCCGGCACAGAAATGCGAACATATATGGACACACGGCTCAGAGGCTGGCACAAAAAGGGCACCACCCGAGGACATTGGACCAAGTCCGGGCCAAAGTAAAGGAGGTCAGGCAGGGATATGTCAAGGCCCATGAGCACAGCTCCACCTCAGGTGCAGCACCAGTGCACTGCGCCTACTACCAGGAGCTGGATCACATCCTGCGTGGTCGGGACCCACTGTCTGCCCCAGTGCTAGTGCAGATGGGCTTGCATACACCGGTGCAGCACTGTCAGGAGGGGACACTTCCAGGAGAAGTTGAGAGGAGGAGGACACCAATGAAACCACTGTGACCCTGACCCTGTAGCCTGTCCCTGAGACCCAGGAAGCCTCGCAGGCATCCTCCGAAGCTGGCGAGAGAGCCTCAGGTAAGTGCAGTCAGGGTCACAGACACAGAAGGGGGAGGTGGGAGCAGAGAGGATGCAGAGCAATCTGCACATGTCTTGATCTTCCTGGACAGCTTGCATCTATCTCTCTGTGCATGTGCAAGCAGGCGGGCAGGTGGTGGGTATGTGGGTGGGGGCCCTGGGAGACCCAAGCTGCTCCTAGCCTCTGTCCTGTGTCTTGTGGCCCACTGTGGCTGGACACTTCCCTGGGCTGTATGGCCATGGTGGGGATGGGAAGGGGCGGGACGTTGTCCTAGCCACCTTGGGGACCCTGTGGGGCGGGGCTGCTGGGCCGGGCAGGTGGTGGGTATGTGGGTGGGGGCCCTGGGAGACCCAAGGTGCTCCAGGTCCTGTCCTAGGTCTTGTGACCCACTGTCGCTGCACGCTTCCCTGGCCTGTACGGCCATGATGGGGAGAGGGGATGTGGGGGGTGGGGGCGGACGTTGCCTTAGCCACAATGGAGCCCCTGTGAGGCTGGGGTGGCCGGCAGGGCCAGACGTGGCCTTGCAGTGACAACATTCCCATCCCTTGTTGTAAGGACCTATTCACTGAGCCCAAGCAGGGACAGTGTGTGAATTCCTGACACTGATCAGTTCTCCCTCTTCTCCTCCACAGCTGGGCCTGCTGCTGCTGACCGCGGACGTTGCCTTAGCCACAATGGAGCCCCTGTGAGGCTGGGGTGGCCGGCAGGGCCAGACGTGGCCTTGCAGTGACAACATTCCCATCCCTTGTTGTAAGGACCTATTCACTGAGCCCAAGCAGGGACAGTGTGTGAATTCCTGACACTGATCAGTTCTCCCTCTTCTCCTCCACAGCTGGGCCTGCTGCTGCTGACCACAGGGAAACACCCGTGCCATACCCACCCGGTCCCATGGCACCCGCAGGCATTGGCGGGTCTACAACAACCTCCTGAGGAGGCATGTTGAGGCAATGGAGAGAATGGAGGACACCATCGCAGAAAGGGCAAGGGAGGAGGCTCACTGGCACAATCGTCTCCTGGAGGATTTCCTCCCCCAGTGGAGCACTATGTGTGCCAGTGTCCAAGAGGCCCTGGCTGTGCCAGGTCCTCTCCCCATGGGGATTCCTCCCACTCATCTGGCTCCAGCCCCCTTTGTCCCCCCTTCCTCTCCCTCAGCCCCTGTCACCCCTTCAGCCCTGCCCCCTCTACCCTCCTTGCTTGGGCAGAGCCATCTGCATCCCCCTTCTCCTTCCCACACCTGCACGGCCCCAACTCAACTCCGAGGATGGCAAGGTCCACGGA